ATCTCTTCACAGAGACTGTTCTATTATGACTGGGACGAAGCTCGCCATGATACGTAGCCCCAGTGCCAGTGCGAGCCTGTGGTTGGATCATACAGCAATGAATATCCTTATCCACTCTATCCTATTTTGACATGCAAATGACTGTGAGATGGTGCGATTAATGCGACATGAGCGTGAGATGTGCAGTGGTGATGTGTCGCATGTCGTGACTGCGCGAAGAAAGTGACCCGAGCGGTGAGATCATAGCTCTTTCCGCGCGCGCTCCGCCAAGCCTGTCGCGACGCGTCGTGCCTTCCACTCCCGCGTGGCCAACGTCAGCGACAAAAACCCAATTGCGACCACAACCACCCCTTTTCATGGCTCCCATCAAGCGCTCCCGTGTAGACAAGGCGCGACAGTATCTCGCGGGCGGCGCAGTATTCCGCGAAGACTCCGACGACGAGCTTGGCTACGAAGACCACCCCTGGGAATGGATCTACGACAACAATGGCATCGACGATGCGCAGCCTGAGCAGACTGCCTCGCCAAGAAAGAGAAAGGCTGCGCCCACACCGCTAGCAAAGCGCATAGTCGGTGCGCGCATGGGTAGCTTCAAGTGCAAAGTGGGAGATGCCGTGCTGCTCAAGGCAGAGGGCAACCAGGCATGGGTCGGCATCATCTGCGACTTCCACGAGGACCCGGACGAGGACGAGAAGATGGCCAAGTTCCTCTGGTTCTCCTCCGAGAAGGAAATTCGCAACCAGAGCAAAAAGCGTTCCGACTTTCTTCCCGTAAGTCCCTCGGCCTTTTGCGAAATTATGCCCTCTGACATTCAATAGAACGAACTTTACATCTCTGCCGCATTCGACGACAACCCGCTAGCCTCGATCAACGGCACTGCCAAGGTCTACTCTTTGGAACATTTCCAGGAGTTGTATCCTGCAGGCGTCAAGAAGAACTCCAAAGACTATGGCAAGGTCTTCGTCTGCCGGAGAGGCTGCAACACGCGCACGACCACATATACACCAGAGTTCAAATGGGAGGACGTATACAGCGATGCCAAGGACATCCGATCGCTGGTCGATCTTGTGGAGGCTCAGACAAAGGCCACTAGGAGAACTGCCGGTCGTCCTAAGAAACATCAGCAGCCCGACTTGGACCAGTTCGTGATCCCTGACTCGGACGATGATGACTTGCCAAAGACTCCACGGAAGCGCCGGAAAATTAATGAAGCGACCGACCCCACATCGACTAGGAAAAGCCCGGCTGCGCGCAAATTCCTTACTCCAACGCACAAGAGGATAGTCATCAAGAAGCAATTGGAGTTCACACCGCTTGGCACGCGTGTACTTGATCCTTCGGCCCTAAACTCACCATTCCAGATCGCGCGGAATCAACTCCATGTTTCCTCGGTACCTGCCGCACTCCCTTGTCGTGAGGAAGAGTTCTCCACCGTCTATAGTCATTTGGACGCGGCCATTACGGACGGCTCGGGCTCATGCATCTACATCTCGGGCACACCTGGCACAGGCAAAACGGCAACTGTGCGAGAGGTCGTCGCCCAACTGCAAGCCTCAGTTCAAGCCGAAGAGTTGGATGATTTCATATTTGTTGAGATCAATGGCATGAAGGTCACCGATCCCCACCAATCATACTCGCTGCTCTGGCAGGCACTGCGCGGCGACCGAGTGAGTCCGTCACATGCACTGGAGCTACTGGAACGCGAGTTCTCCACTCCCAGCCCGCGCAGGGTTCCCTGCGTGGTCCTCATGGACGAGCTTGACCAGCTCGTCACCAAAAACCAGTCTGTCATGTACAACTTCTTCAACTGGCCTGGCCTGCGGCACAGCAGGTTAATTGTCCTCGCCGTAGCGAACACTATGGATCTGCCAGAGAGAACGTTGAGCAATAAGATCAGCAGTCGCCTAGGTATGTCCCAGCTAGCATAGCGATCCTTCAGGAACGCGCCCCACGCGTTTGGCGTTTCGATCCCTCCTCAATATGCTACAATATCAGAGGGAGACGACGAGGTCTCCCAACGATCTGCGTATCAATTTGATGTTATCGGTGCGACTTATATGGCCGGGTACGTCCGTTATTTTCCTGGCGAGAGGCTAACACGCATCTTCTAGGCTTGACGCGCATCACTTTCCCAGGCTATACACATGACCAACTGATGCAAATTATCCAGTCCCGGCTCGAAGGTGTACCTGGCAATATTGTGCACCCTGACGCCGTTCAGTTTGCTGCACGCAAGGTAGCAGCTGTTAGCGGTGATGCGCGACGCGCGTTAGACATCTGCAGACGAGCCGTGGAAATCGCCGAAGCGGAAACGATATCGCAGGACCGGGACGATGAGGCGCAGCCAGGTACCCCGAGTAGGACCGCTCGGGGTGACAAAGCAAAGCAGCTCCAAGACTCTCGGTCAAATAAAGGTACCGGAGATCCGGATCATCGGTCCAAAGATCGGGCGGGGCGGAAAGGTATAGTTACTATGGCGACGATCAAACAGGCAATCAACGAGGCTACGAGTAGCCCCCTGCAACAGGCGCTGCGGGCTCTACCGTTGGCGTCCAAGGTGTTCCTTGCGGCCCTCTTGGCAAGGATCCGCAGGTCGGGCATTGGCGAAGCGATCCTTGGAGACGTTGTCGATGAAGCCAAACGGTTGGGGCTCATGAGTCAGTTACTGCCTGTGCACGATTACATTCTCGCCCCTGAGAAGGACGACAGAAGCGAAATGATGAACGGCGCAGCAATGCAGCCTTCTACGCCGTCGAAGCATAGAGACGTTGCTACTAATCTTGGCTTGAAGGAAACGAACAACAAGGCAGCAAGAGCACTCGGTCTCGCACTCGCAGCCACCGAGCTCGCAGAAGCAGGCATCATAGGCGTAGAGGCCCGACATGGCGAGCGAGTAGGCCGTGTCCGGCTTGGCGTTGGTGAAGACGAAGTGCGGCTTGCACTTGGAGACGACGAGACTGTTCATGGCCTAGGTTTCGGAGCGTGATGCATTCGTAACCCCTCGTTCCACGCTCCATCATTGCATTTCTAGAAGGTTGGTGCGCGTCGACGGCATTTGCCGTACACTCACACATATCCAATATCCAACAATCTGTATACCCTTTAGCGACCGCATAATATACCCCTCATGGCCTAACGCCCGATTCTGCCCTTCCAATTGTATCTGCGACGTGTGCGACAGGCAGCGAATCAATGATGCAGCCGAGATGCATATGCGTGAATGGGAAGCTGTGCCACAAGATCTACCGGTCAACGTTACGACGCCGGGCCGCCGACCGGGATCTTTCAACGAATAACGTCGCCGTCCATCACTTTAGCCGTCCTCACCAACCTGCTTCCAGGCCACGAGCTGTGTTGCGTAGCGTGGCGTGATGGAACTTCTCCGTTTCGTCTCGTCTCGTCTCAAGGAAGAAAGGAAGCAAGGTAGCATGAGGAGATTTCGCCATGCACCCGCCCCACGCCTACGTCGTCGTATAATCCAACGAACGCGAAGTGCACAGTGTGGGCGTGGGCGTGGACCTGGCCCATGACATATCACAGCATAACTTGAAGGTAATAAGTCGCCATGGTATCGATACACCTGACATATACCCCCAGCGCCTCATTCACCCACCACACCTCCCACCAACTCGTGTCCTCGCATCTAGATTCCATCTGCCTTCTTTTCTTCTCCGCGAACCTCAAAACCTGCTGTGCTATGCATTGTGGCGCTCCCTCGCCCGAGATCTCGATCGCGCATCTGCTTCTCAGCCTGCCTACACGATCAAGTCCGTCCGCGTGAGTTGGGGGCTTGTACTTGCCCGCTTTCCTGGCCGCAGATACGGTCTTCGTGGGCATTCGCACCTGCATTATGGATACGAGAGCGGGAGTTGGCGCGATTGGTCGGAGGTGCGTTGCGGTTAGATGGGTGGTGTGGACGGCGAGGTTCCTACGTACATGTATGTACCATTGCCCTGGCCCCGGCCCCTGGCTCTTGGGGCTGAAGCGCGTGGACGGCGAGACATGTGATTCGATTCGATGCAGTTCGTTACGCCATGAGAACCTGCAGCGTGGGTTTTGCATGTACATACATATTTCTAGCTGGCCGGAGTGTTGGGCCCAGGGGCGTATGTTTCGCGCATTAGTCACGTTGAGACGAACAAGCTGGCGTCTTTCTCGAATGCGAAGTGCGAAGTTGGTGGTGGTTTATGCCGTGCCTCAGGTGGGGGATGTACGCCACATGTTCACAGTAGAGAGAGAAAGATCGTGGCATGTGTATTGAAAATAAGGCGTGTTGCAATCTAGAAGGAATGGATGCTGGTGCGGTGTTGCATGATATCTCGTTTCGAAGATGGGGTTCGTGTAACGTGTTACTCGGGTCTTGTTCCGTTTGCGGTATATGGGCTTTGGATGTGAGGGAGAGGCATATGTCTAGTCTTCGTATGTCTTCTGTTCGCTCGTCTTGAGTGAAGTGGACGACTGGTAGGTCTGTCGTGGCTCCGTCCTTGTACACCCGGATGCGGTTTCTTTGCCGATAAAAGGCCATTATGCCACGCCACGATTACCATTGTTTCCCGTAATATCCAAGTCGAATCTTAGGTTGACGTCCTGGCTTGGAGCCGTAGGGTAGTAGCGTAGGGCTGTTGTTGATGGCATGTCCTGCGGTTGCAGCATACAAATCTTGTCCAGATTGCATGAACGCGCCAATCGTACCAACAAAGTTATGGATGTCAGAGTACCAGGATGAGTCACCTATCTCGTCGCATTCTACAAAAACATTAGGTATTATTAGGAATGATATCTGGGTAGACGTATACATGAACTTAGGAGCTACGAAGTAGTTGACTTTTGATAGTATGTATGCAGCAAACGCGATCCAGACTCTAGCTATCTGTGGCAAGGGGTTATAATTGCTTTATCTACCTGATCACTATCATACCGTATCTTCGCTCGCACGGAAACGCACCGCGGGTTCCCAATTTTAAAACGAACATTCCAGCGTATCCGTCGTCCTGAGAAGTCTACTCGGTAACCTCCAAGTGTGAAAGCCATTCCGTTACCATATGATCTAGCTTCTGCGCGTCCTCACCATCCCCGTCCTCACCATCCCCGTCCTCACCATCCTCATCCGGCACAATCTCATCATCTTCAATCTCAAATCCATGACACTGAAGCCATAGGGGAAGGTCCTCCGCCCCCTGCGTGCGATATATCGTCATCTTTCGGCCGTCCCAAGACTTCGACCGAAGGGTGATGGAATGCCTCCAGTACCCATATCGTCTCAACAACTTCAAGAGGCCTACATATACTGTCTCGGAAACATGTTGTTCTCTGACCCACTCTTGCGAACCAACCCACGAACCGCTGTCAAGGTCGTAGAGTGCAGCTTCTGCTTCGTTTATAGCTTCGGACGTGTTCTTCTTGTTGCGATCAAATGTCCAGTGCTGTATCGCTGAGCGGAAATCGTCGTTTGTCCAGTCTTTCAGTTTGGGGAATTTTGTTGGATTCCAGTTCCGAGCGAATTGTTCCGCGGTCTCATGTTCGTCTTCGAGGCTTTCGTCTTCTTCTTGTTTGTGTGATGAAGGAAGGGTACATACGCACCCAGACCGATGGCGTATGTAGCTCTGCTGATAGTACGGAGCTGGCTCAGATCTGGTAGGCTGACCCGCTGTAGCTGGGGCAGTGGCTGCTCTTCTGTGGTGCGCATACAGCTGCTCGTGGCACGACTTAGCCGTGAATTGAGCTTGAAGCGTCGTCATCTCATCGGCTGGTCGTTTGTTCTCGGAAGACATCGTCAGGTACAATTTCTTTATCTTGTGTTGATGGGTAACTTGTAGATCTTTTGCTTTGGGGTTGAAGTGTTACAAGTTGATTTGTGACTTCTAATATTTGAGAGCTCGCTTTATATATGCGCAGCTTTACTCGTGTGGTTCTCAAATGATTTACTTACTTTTCTGTTCGTTTGAACTATGGATATGTGCGGTAGCGAACCATGGTCGAAGACCTGAGGCTACGCGAGCCCCCCAAGTCAGACTCGCTCATACTCGATGAATGTCATGAGTATTGGTTCAACCTTTACTTAACTGGCGGCTCGTATTCTACGCCGACATTCAACATGATCCACACACGCCTCGTATTTGGCATGCAAGTCCGCCACCTCATCGGAGAACAATCGACCGTGGCTCGGAATAGTCCTCCGCTTCAGGGTACCACTCTTTCGACTGCTACCATGATGTTAGCGATCTCATCATCGTCACTTTTGACCGTATTTGTACTTACATCTTTCTTCACCTCGGATTTTACCCTCTTAATCACCACCAGTCCAACCCTCACATACTCGCCCCGCTCTTTATCCGTACTAATGATTGCCACACCCAAAGCCGGCGCAACGATCAGAACCTTACAAGCCTCATACGCCTCAACATCGAAAAGAACTCGCGCATCATGATAGCTTTGGTCGCGCATCTGCACCCTACACGACCGATACGGACTCTTCCCTGTCGCTACATCTTCGCTAATAGCAGTGACATCCGTCACCGGCCCACTGATTCTCGCCCACCCATCTTTCAACTCACCAAGGGGATTAAGTCCTTTAGGCACGACTCTGCATTCTTCAAGAAAGGCACAAAAGCCTCGTAGCGAGGTATTCATACCTACAGTAAGATCACCTAACCCGTAATCCACAGGTCCCTCCCCAGACATGAACGACCAAGACGGTGCCGTCCAAATATCCGACCGTTTGAAAGGTGCAACATCATGCCTAGGCACCCACAGGAGCCACTTGAGGAAGTTCCGCTGCCAGAGTCCTGCTGCGGGGATGTCGCCAGTCATGCGTTGTAAGACGGTCATGACGCCTGAGATGGCCGGGAATTTGTCTTTGGGGTACGTAATACCGCGGGAGGTATAGTCACGGACCAGTTGGAACCACGCGTCTTGGCCGAGGGCAACTCCAATGGGTAGGCGTATACTGGATACCACGGCGTCGAGGGTGTAGAGGTGGGTCCAGCCTTTTCTTCGTTCCTCATGCGAGATGCCGTCGGGACAGCGCCAGAACATGTTGGCGCTGCCGAAATGGAGGGAGCGGGATGGTAGGAGTTGTTCTTGGAGGACCCAGGCTCGTGTTTCGAGGGGATCGCTTGGTATTGCCTGGGTTATGTTAGTCATGAGTCGACGGTGTCTCGGGGGTGGGGGCTTACGTAGTTGCGGGTCTGTTGGGCGACGAGATATACTTCTAGATCACCTTCGCTATCGTGGATCTCGATACGTTCGGTCATTGGCATCTTTCGTGGTCCTAGGAAGCCTGCTCCGCAATGTGAAGCGTTGGATGCAGCGATGTTGATGTACGATCTGGAGTAGATGTCGGCCATGACAGCCGATTCTTTCTCCCAGTCTGCTGTGTCATCTTGTACTAAGAGCGAGAGTATAAGCATTAGCATATGTACTGTATACAGAGGAGTCGGTTCATACCAATTGCCAAGCAGTCGATCCATACGTACCGTAGACCAAGGAACCGCACCACCATAGCAGCATCTTGAAGCGTCTTAGGAAGATCTTGAAAGCCGATGCTGCTCTTTCGCATTGAAAGCGTCTCTGTGGTAGTCATGAACGGCAACCCATTTCCCCAACAATAGCTCAGCGTTGCGTACTTCCCTTTCTGACCAGCGGTCGTTTCGACTAGTTTACATTTGGTTTGAGAAAACAGTGCTGGCCACTGCTTCATATTTTCGGCTAGAGCGTCAGAATTGGGCATGTCATCGAGATCCAACACTCTTGTAGGCAACAACGAATCTTGCTGAATCGCAGAACATCTCTCATGTCGGGTATTGCATTCGTCAAACCAAGCTCTGAATTGCTTCAAAGGGGTGGGATCAAGCGTATCCTCCAACTTCACCGGCTTGAAGAGATTCGAAGCTGGAGTGTCTGTGTCCATAAGCCTTCGTCTACCGGACTAAGCAAGATCTGCGACTCAAACATACCAAATCTATTTCGAAACTCCACAGCGGTAGCTTCATTTATGCCCTTGTCTAAATAGAGATCCAGCTTTGTGCCGTATGTTTCAGATTCGGATAGATGCAGCCATGCTGGAGCGACCTCCATATCTACTTCTTGTGCGACTCGTCTGTAAACCGGCCGTGTTTCCACATCCCGCATGAGCATGCTGCATATCATGCAGTGAAGTGCGCTTTTCCTCAATCGTGGTAAGGTTGTTTGGCGTCTGTCACAAACCCATATTTCGCTTTCGTGGCCCCAGGGTATGCCATTGTCGTCGGTCCAAGACGTCTTTTTCCAGTCTGGAGGATAGTCGCCGCGGGCGAGCGCGCGGAAGGGTATGGAGCTACAAGTAATGCAGAGTGGCATGACTAGTGTATATGAAAATACCAGAGTAGGACAACAATCGTGAAATGTGACGTGAGAAGTTGGGTGTGATTAGTGGGACGTACCTGCCTGCTTATAGTCAGCCTGCAGGTGCTCTAGCCTCACGTGTCTTAGTACATGGGACTGCTCCCCACAACCAACTTTGCCTTTCTAGGAACACTCTTCATGGAGAACGGTAAGTTCATGCCATAGCATTGATTTCTCTCATATTTTATCTATCCATGTCATCACCACCCACCCCATCCACACCTAATACCCAACCCCACCCCCCTCAGTCGGCAAATCAAACCACGCGTAATTCCCGCCCGTACAAGTTTCCCTCAAATAAGCCCACGCCTTCGGCCTCTGCCTCCCTTCCAACCCAGGATCCAGTCTAAGCGCCATCTTATACGCCGCCGTCTGCCCGCTACTATCAACTGGATCAACGTAATCAGGGATATCGCCAAAGTCCTTCTTCTGCAAACGCTGTTCCCACGTAATGCCAACGGTGCCGCCGTCGACAAAGGCAAAAGGCGTGTTGTCGACGTAGTGCAGTTGGATGCCGAGGCCGTACATGACGGTTGGGAACCATTTGTAGGCGGAGTAGGCGATGAAGTTTGGGACGGAGGAGACAGGGACGACGAGCTTGGAGTGGAAGGGTGGGCTGCTGGTGGTGATGTCGGTGGCTTTGGCTTTGCCTTTTCCTTCGTACTGGTTTTTGGTCTGGTTGTCGAGGCGCGAGGTGAGTTTCATGAGTGTGATGAGGGTGTTGAGTTCGGGGCAGCCGCCGTAGAGGTACTGGGGATGCTTCTTCAGCGATGAGATATGCTGGCCAACGGGACCGGTCAGCTGCTTCTCGTAGACGTCTGCTTCTTTGATGTACTGGTTCATACGACGTAGAATGCTGGGAGACATGGACTCCTTGCGGTTATCGATTTGGAACCGGACGTGGCGAACCATGTGGAAGCGGCCCAGGTACGCGAGGCGGTCGAAATAAGTCGAGGTATCATAGCCGATGGAGAAGGTGTTTGTGGAGTAGAACATGGGAAGTGACTCCTCGCGGACCTGCTTGCTGACGCGGGTGATACCGAGGAGATCGCTGGTCGCGAAGTGATGTTCTGCATTGTCGTCGTGGAACTGAACGACCTGGTCGCCGGTATAGTCGCACAGATGAGGCCTGATGGGTCGATCTGTATCGAGCGCGAGCGCATAAATGCGCTGACGTAGCTCAACAGAAAGTTCCATGAACTTGTGGAACTTGGGCTTCAACATCTTGCACCTGCCGGTGGTATGACGTTCGGAGTGACACTGGTGACAGAGGTTGCAGTCCATGTTGCGGATACTCTTTTCTGCCATACAGGTGAGGCAGTGAGTGGGCGCGCGAGATCTAGGCCGACGGGGTCGCACCGGAACGTTGTAGGTGATAGGAGGTGGTTCAATCGCGCGTCTCGCCTTGGGCTTTGAAGGTCCTGGGGTGGGATCATTGACTGGTGGAGCTGGCGGAAGGATTGGGTTGAAGGAAGGTACAGAGAGAGAAGCCGCAAGATTCTTATCGTCTTCGTCTTCCAATGCTAGAATATCGTCTACAGAACGCGTGGGCCGTAGACGACGACGTGTCAAGGCGGTGGATGCCTGAAAGTCACTCGATCCAGTAGCTGATCCCGACGAAAGAGGAGCGTGGTTCGAATATGCTGCGTCACGAAGAGCGTACATGTATGAATCGGCTGCACAAATTAGCTATTGATCCTCACCAGAAAATTAACGGGGTCCTCTTACCTTGGTTCCTCCAGTAAGTCTCCGCTTGCTGACCCATCGATTGCCCTGACTCACCAGACGTCGGCCCACCAGTACCAAATCCCTCGCCTGCTTCGATCGCTTTCTGAAACTCTTCATCATATTTATAATCGAAGTATTCCTGGCCACAACGGTCGCACAGAGTCCGCTCATCTCCATCTTCCCGACGAGGGTCAGGCTTCAGGCAGCAAGACATGGGCGGCAGAACGAGATTGCCATTGACCACCAGGTCAGTAGGAGGAAGTAGTGGAGCCAAAGCTGGTTGCGCGGGTGCGTGAAAAAAGTTCTGCGCGTACACCGCACCACACCCAACGCAGACCCAGTCACCATCGTCCATGGTCCAGTGCTTAGAATCTGGACAGCATTTCGGCGCATCGCCTATGATGGGATGTGGGCGGCCTGGTTCCTGGTTGACCTCGAAGCCATTCTGTGTTGGGCGGATGGCGACGCCAGACTCCTTCATGGTCAAAGCTAGCTGTAAGGCCTCGGGGCTGCAATCGTTCGGCCAGAAGTCACTCCAAAAGTTATCGTTCGCTTCGTAGTCGTCGTCGTTCATTGTCGGCGGCTGGTCGCTGGGTGATTGTGCAAAGGTTGAGAAGTGAGAGAGCAGGTTATTTAAGTGACATTCGAAAAAGTGAACGCAGTGAGTGGGCGATTATATGGGAGCGAGCAAGAGAAGCCTAAAAGTTTCCACTCCGCAGACGAGGAAGTGAAAGCACGCATGTGACCACACTGTGCGAAGTCAGGGGTCCGCGACTTAGATGAATCGGGGAAACGCACATGCATACGACAGATCAATCTTCCTTCATTGGTATACCTTCCAGTCATCGTCTCTACCACTTCTTACCTCCCTCATCACTAAAGTCACGTCCCTGACGCTCCTGCTCTAGCCTAGCGTCGAATTCTTGCTGAGCGCGCTGTCTCTCCCTGGCCCTCTCCTCATCGCCTGCAACAAACGTATACGAGTCTCCGAGCGTGGACCCTTCCCTCTGCGCTCTGCGCTCCGGCTCCGCTCTCCGCGATTGCTGTTGCTGTGGCCTTTGAAGTGGCGCTGCTGCTGCTCCTCCGGTACGCCGAAGACGATCCCATGACGATTCACCAGGTCTTGCTTGGGATTGGGATTGGGGTTGTTGTGGGTTGTTGACTTCGTCCTGGAAGAGGCCTCCAGTGGGGGAAGCGTCGTCATCGAATGGAAGGGACGAGGGCGGTGCTTGCTGGCGTTGTGGAGCTGGTTGTGATGTGTCGTTTGAGAACGTCTCCCATGTGTCTGATCCCGCGGTTCTGGTACCCCACGATTCGTTCCCTGCGGTCGGGCTCATGTCGTCGCCTCCATCAGCGTTCCCTTGAGGCTGCTTACCCCAGCTAGCCTGTGGTGACGGGCCACCTCCTGCCTTGTTCCTGACCTGCTCCTGGAACTGTCGTCGCCTATCCTCAATCTCACGTCCTTGTTGTGCGGTCCGTTGCCCTTCAGCGTGTGAGGAAGCCTTCAACTCCTGCCCAAACTGCTCCAGCTTCGGATCGTTCGAGGTATTCACCGCAGCCAAAGGTTGCGCGAGGAGTTGACCGATGATGTTGCCCATCTGTCCTGCCACCAAAACGTACAAACTGAATCGCCATGTGTGTCGTGCGAACATCGCCATGTTGCCCTTGATCGGACCAAACTTGTTCCGGTCAATGTCCTCCACCTTGGGCTGATAAAAGGGATATTTCATCTTATCCATAGTCCTCCACCATTGGTACGTTCCTGCAGCTGCACCGGTGGCGGCGAAATAGCTCTTTGTTTGCTCTAGCTGGTATATGTGGTATGCGAGCGCTTGCGCTTCTTCTGGATTCAGTTGGCGGCCGACTTTGCGCTCGGCGAATTTAAGGGTAGTTTCGGTCTTGAAGCGAACGGCGCGATCGGAGAAGCCCATGAAGGTGCCTATGATCGGTAATGGCTGGGGCAGGACGCTCGCGTCGAAGCGAGCGCCTGAGGAGGGCGGCGACGCGGAAGCATATGGGTCGTTCGAGGAGGGGTAAGGGTTATCTGTGAAGCCTTCCGGGGCTGTATTTTCGACGTCCTGGAGCACCATGTTGGTATATGTGGAATTGGGTCGTGATGGTGTGTGGTGGTAGGAATTGGTGCGTGGTGTGATGCAGAGACATAGGAGCTTAGCTCAAGCGTTGATGACGGCATCGAACACAACCTCGGGATCAGGGTCCACCTGGCAGCTGCGAACACCTTGACACGATACCATCGCCCAACTAGCGTCTCGCATCGCGACAATCAACGCTTGTCACTTTCGTCTACTCCAATTACTTCAAATGAGAAAGGATTTCACAAGATTCAATACGGTCTATTCCCATGTTCCCCTGACCCAGCGATATCCCTCGGCAGAAAATGTACGTACTTATACAAAAGATAAAGAAAATGACACTCCGAGTTCGACC